GTTATAGGCCTTAGAAAGAGTCTTATTATACAGTATTGGCTTGACTATTTGGAAGGTAATGTCACAAGTGGGTTTTATTGAGCAAAATAATACTAATTACCTATGAATACATAAAATTGACAGAAAAGGTACAAAGGCTTGTTATTAAGATGTTTTATCAAGTAAATCACTGCTTAATTATTATGAATGCATAAAATTGTCCCAAAAAAGCTCAAACCCTTAAGTAGTTATTGAGATAACAGCTTACAAGCAAAACTTTACCATGAATTTCTAAGTTGAAAAAGGGGAGAAAAATCAGCCTAAATGCAAGATAGAATTATGGATCTTTGTCAGTGATCTACAATTATGACCCTAAATGCATATGTGAAGTTTTAAATTAATATCTTTAATAGTTATTGAGATATGTAAAACTTGCATGTAAACATTAACCAAAAGACTAAGTAGAAAAGGGGATATGAATCAGCCTTAATGCAATAGAGTTATGGAACTTGGTCAGTGACATACAATTATGACCCTCCAATTATGACCCTAAGTGCATGTGTTAAGTTTCAAGTAAATATCTTTGAAGACCTTTAACCTTTAACCAAAATTTCTAAGTTTCAAAGGGGCAAATAATTCTGCAAATATTGCAGGCAGAGTTATGCAATTTTGTAAACTGATGTACATTGTTACTATAAAAAAGTATTTTAAATTTCAATTGAATATCTCAAGCAATAATTGAGATATTTGACTTAACCAAAATTTCTAAGTTCCAAAGGGGCATAATTCTGTCAATATTGTAGGCAGAGTTATCCAAATTGTCAATCTGATGAATCTTGATACTATAAATAAGTATTGTAAGTTTCAATTGAATATCTAAAGCAATAATTGAGATATTTGACTTTACAAAAAACTTTAACCAAAATTTTTAAGTTAAAAAGGGGCATAATTCTGTCAATATTGAAGGCAGAGTTACCCAACTTGTCAATCTGATGTACCTTGTTACTATAAATAAGTATTGTAAGTTCCAATTGAATATCTCAAGCAATAATTGAGATATTTGACTTTACAAAAAACTTTAACCAAAATTTCTAAGTTAAAAAGGGGCATAATTCTGTCAATATTGTAGGCGGAGTTATCCAACTTGTCAATCTGATGTACCTTGTTACTATAAATAAGTATTGTAAGTTTCAATTTAATATCTCAAGTAATAATTGAGATATTTGACTTTACAAAAAACTTTAACCAACGCAGACGCTGACGCCGACGCCGACGCCGGGGCGACTACAATAGCTCTCATATTCTTCGAATAGTCGAGCTAAAAATTATCACATGGTATTGATAACAGACATGGCACGGGAAGAAACCCCGGCTCTAATTTTCAAGAAGTTTCGTTTCTTTTTCTAGTGCTTGTTTCTAAAATATTGTATAACAATGTTTCAATTAGATATGATTATATTTGAAATCTTGTCTCATAAAATATTCGCCGATAGTAAAATTTGACGGGTTTATGAGGGATTTGGGATTTATTTAACTGACAGAAAACATATGTATGTTTGAACTTTAGTCGGAATATCTGATTAAACACTGTTGGCAAAGTGAGCCCTGGACAATACAAGATATATGGTCAGCACTTGGACACATGTATAGATGTACATACTTAATCAATTGGATTGACATACTAGATACTAGAAATTCTAATTACAAACGATGGCTATTGTCAGCAACATTAAAAATAAACTTCTCTTGATACAAAAATTCTACCTGGACATAACATAAGTTTTATACCTTTTTATTTAAATGAAATGGCTTGACAAGTGTATGGGGATATAAATGTCTTCATTTTATTTACATTATGTTAGGTTTGAATAAATGGTCAGTCTTAAAACATGATTTAGCATTAATAGGGCTTGATATGACATTGGTGACGATTTTGATCCTCTTATTTTGAACAAGTTCTACAAAGGTTAATCAAGCCTGACGATCAATCAATAATACAACAAGAAAATATGTAACACAGACAAAACATAATGTATATTTCCAATGCCTTTTTCCCTTTAGATAAGTTCACTGAGTATCTTTAAGTCACATTCTTGACGTAATGATGATATGGCGATTGATACATAATAATTAAAAGGAATTGCGTTACTGGTGTGTAATAGTTGGTCACTGATGTTGACGTTGGTGTGCAAGATATCTTCATAAACTTGGTTATTTCTAAAATATGAATACAAAGATCAATAAAGGGGAGCGACTTTCACAGAACGCAATCTACGACTTCATCCAGCATCACAGGACCGTCAGAAAGCACCATGTTGGACATTGAACGGAAACAAAGGGAACTAAATGCTAAACAGGGAACGAGCAAAGGAAACAATAATTGTAACCTACGAACAACTTCATCATGTGAAATCATAAAAAACAGCAGCAAGTTGGATTAAGAAATAAGCATCCTTTTCACGGCTCTAATTCTGTTTGTTATAAATTCTGTACACCGGTTTTGAGTATTTGAAATATAACCTGCCATTTGTCAATAATCAGTCAACTAATATTTAACGATTGTGATTCAAATATTTAACAATCATATTAATAGCAGTCAGATAATATATAAGCTTTGATTGTCCAATAAAATGTATTTGTAAGTATTTTTTTGAAAATTAAAATACTATATATATAATTTTCGTGCGATTTTTCTATGTTTAATTTCTCGCTCATGACTTTCTTTCTTTCATATATATATATGAAATATATATGTGTGTGTGTGTGTGTGTGTGTGCGTGCGTGCGTGCGTGCGTGCGCGCGCGCGTGCGTGCGTGTGTGCGTGTGTGTGTGTTAATTTAAGCATTACAAGTGAAATGGGGGTGGGAGTAGTATTTAAACTAAATATTTTCATCATTTTCTTAATTGAATAAGACAATGATACAAAGTTATATCGATAAATGATGGTTAGTTTTGAGAATGTTAAATCAACTGTGCCAAGAAATATTGAGTTTTATTTTATGCTTTTCAGTGGATTATTGATTTATCCGTGAAAATTATATTTGGTAATTTCACAGTGAAAATTATCAAAATATAATTTCACTCTTTTCAATGACGAAACTACTTTTTTAAGATTTTCCCCATGTGGTACCTCAATTTTATTTTTGCTGACAATTCTGACAATATCAGGCTGTTTAAAGAAAAAGCAAAGCTGAAATTGATAAACAACTTAAATGTCAAAAGTAATAAAAAGAAGAAAACTTATTTCTATTCATTCAAATTCCAATCACCAAATTTCGTCTCTTAATTTTTTTGTTTCATTTTTACAGTCTGAAAAATACATTCCTTCCCCATGCAAAACTGCTCTTGATGACATTTGGGCATATTAAAGTATCCTACGAGCAATAACTGCCGTGTGCTTTATGAAAAATTGAAAAGCATTGACAGCCATCACTCGGAGAATAAGTAAAACATCCCACTCCCAGCGTTCCGTTCTTGAGCAAGCTTCCAAGTTTTCCATTTTCCTAGCTCCTTTTCTGAATGTTTTCACATCTGTCAACACTTATTTTTTGTCTGTTACAATCCTCAAATAAGTTTTCTTTCTTTTAAAAAGGTGTATGACTAACAAATCCAAATTATATCCCTCTGAATCTTACACAATTATTTTCCTCCCATGAAATACACAAATTTAAAAAATGGCTGCCGCTTACAATTTACAAAGCCAGGTCTAATATACATTCGCAGTAAGTAACAGAAATATGGATGGATGGTTGGACTTTTTCTCCTACAAGAATTGTTTGTTTTTATTATTAAAACAAGCGATCATTCATATTTTTTTAATAAAATGAATAAATATCACCGTCATTTAACGTTGATTGGCGGGCTTATTTTTCAGCTCAAGACTTCTTGTTTTTAATGAGAAATTCCGACTAAATGGGGCTCTCAATGGGGGAAACAGTTTTAATATAAACGTTAAAATTATGGAAATTTCGTTTTAACTTGTTTTTAAGCATAAAATAAAAAGAAAATTTGTCTGTTTGTTGTGTAAGATGTAATTTTATTTCATCTCGTGAACTTTAAAAACAGTATTCTCACTCGTGGCTACGCCACTCGTGAGAATACTGTTTTTAAAGCCCACTCGATGAAATAAAATTTCATCTTACACACAAACAAACAAATATCCTCTATATCTTACATACATAATGTTGATAATTATATTGTATCGGACACATTCCAGTCTCATCTAATTCATTATGATATACGAACACATTAAAGACTTAACTTCTTATATTCGCATATCAAACAGACATTTTAGGATTTTCCTTTTGACAAATAATCAAAATAAAGTAAGCACTAATCAAATTATGCCAAGATGACGATTAATGAAATTTGATTTGGCGCTAAATTGTCGGCATGAGTGTCAATGCACATTAAGAAGTAATATTTTAATTCCCTCTGGTTAAAGACGATGAATTATTGGGATTAAAAACAGAATATTTATTTTCTACACATCATACGAATTGAAGTTCCGCAAAATGACTTCTGTTATCAATAATTCATCTTATATACACTAAACGACACAAACCTAGGAGCGATCATTTATCTCCAATCAGTTTTATGGAAACTTATATAATTATGGATTGCCTCTGAAATGCTTTTATTCTTATTTCTCAAAAGGTCTTTGGTATTTGGTGTTCCGCTATAGTTTCCAAAAGGTTAGGCACTGGCAAATTACCTAAACCCATCTTGAAGCTTCTGTTGCTTTCTGGCAATTAGTACATAATGTGTTTTATAAACATGTTTATATAAACGTTCCTGAATAGATCAATAAAATGATGACACGTTTTGTTTTAAATAGTAAATCTTTTTGTAAACGTTACAAAACATGTTTATTATAAACATAAAGAGCAGTTGTTTCATTTATTTATTTATTTATTTATTATGTTTTGCAACATTATATTATTATGAAGGATTAAACTAACTACTTTTAAGGGCGATAATCTCACTGTGTCATCAATGAAAGACAAACATTACGTCCCATGCGTACTAGAATTTAAACTTCCGCGTTCCAAAATTCAGGTAGAGACGAACTGATAGAAATATAATTTTGAAGTATTGTAATAATATTGGAAAATATACATGTTTAAGAACGGTGTGACTAGTGAAGATAAATAGTGACATGATCAGTATTAACAATTAAAAGACAGTTTTATGTTATATCTTGAACAACTAAACACCTTAAATCAGATCACGTGAGTTATCTTTCTTTTCATAGAAAAAACTTAGAAACAGTTTAATTACATGTTTACTAAATCAACGTTAATGAAATATCAAAATGAATAATAAAAAGGTTTACAATGCTATGATGTTTAACGTTATAATAATATATAAATAGGACACTAGCTGATAAATATGTGACGTGTTTAAGCAAACTTATTCTTTTGAGATAGATTGAGAAATGTATATTGAGATATATATATACACCAAACATTTCAAATATTCTTACAAAATGGAATAATAATTTAGAACAAATAAAATTCTTCTCAAAACATAAAGTTCTTCACCTAGAATTAAGTTACACGAAATTGTAATGATGTTATTGTACTTGTAGATTTATTTTACATCATTTCGTTCAGAACTTTAATATGTGGTCGGCGGGAATTTGATTAGTTATTTCTTATTATTTTAGAAAATGGAGGTGTCTGGAAAGGTAACTTCAACATCCAAGACGAACTTTGACCTGTACTGTATTCCATGTGATACAGATGGATTAAAGGAGCCGGCTCACGGATTTTGTCAGGACTGCCAGGAACATCTTTGCAAAAGTTGTTTCAAACATCACAGAAGGTCAAGACCATCTAGAAACCACGTGCTGCTTGAAAAAGATGCCATGCCGACACAACAAACGATCGTTGATGACGTAAATGCAGACGTCATTACTGACAAGTGTATCAACCATAGGGATAAACATCTGGAGTTCTATTGTAACCATCACAAAACTGTAGCATGTTATGTCTGTGTAACGCTTGAACACAAACAATGTAAAGTAGATTATATTCCTGAAGTGTCAGGAAATGTATCTGACGACTTGATGGATTTGAATAAAAAGATGGAAGTTTTAATCAAGAAAAGTGAATATAACATTATGAAAGCTGCAGCTGCTACAAAACAACTAGAACAAAGTCATGGAAAAGTCATTGAAGACATACAGCTGTTTAGGAAGGAAATAAACGACCGTTTAGATCAGATGGAATCGATCATTATTAAAGAAGCTGAAACTGTTATTAACACAGCAAACCATAAACTTGAGAATATCAAGGATGCTTACGAAAAAATAGCCGAGGAAGTGAAACGTTCACAGTCATTTCTAAATGACCTGAGTAAAACAAACAAGCAGAATAAGCTTTTTATTGAAATGAAGAACATCACACATCGTATCATGACACTGGAAAATGAAGAAATACAGATTGTCAAAGATAATATGACATATGACGACATTCAATTTGACCGGAACGAAAAACTACTTGATCAATTGAGAAGTGGGAAAATATTTGGAACAATTTTAACATACAGAAAACCATCAGCAGATACTGAATTATGTGTCACATATGAAAGATCCCTCAACGTGAAATTTCCCTCTGACGAAAAAAAATGTGATGTGACTGGGACTGTAATGATTTCTGTCACACAAATGATCGTCGCTGATTATGGCAATGAGAAAATTAAAATGATTAACATTGAAACAGGAACGCTGGTGTCAGAGAAAACCCTGTCTTCAGTTCCAAGAGATGTGATAAAACTTCCACAAAATAAACTTGCTGTTGCTTTACTTAATGAAAAGTGTATCCAGATATTGAGTTATACCGATACAAGTTTGTCTTTAGATCGTCGTATAGATGTCGGAGAAAGATGTTATTGTGTAGGTTATTGCCAGGGCAAGTTAGTAGTAGGCTGTAATTATAATCCAGGACAGCTAGTTGTTTTAGATCTAGACGGAAACATCATACAGTTTTTTGATACTCCTCGAATGTTTGATGGACCTGAGAAAATTCTTATCAGCAGTGATGAAAAATTCATGTACGTGTCTGATTGCAAAGCATATAGCAATAGCAAGTGTATAAAGATAGACTGGCAAGGTAATGTTGTAAAAAGGTTCGAGGATCAAGGATATCGATGGCCTAAAGGAATACAGGAGATGGAAGATGGTACGTTGATAGTTTGTTTCTGCTCCAATCACAAAACTGTCAGATTGTCGAGCAGTTTCAAGGAATGTGAGATCAAAGGATTCGAGAACATAGACATTAATAATCCGCAGACTGTAACATACAGTCAAAGAAATCACAAATTATATGTCAGTTGTTCTTCTAACAAGGGGAGTAGTGTAAATGATACAATAAAAGTGTTCAATGTTAAATAGATTATTGGTATGATTTGTGAATATATGCAAAGTGACACATTGGATGTGATCCATAATAAGACACCTTTAATTAATGGGAGCATACTACATACAAAAATACATCTTGTATTCAAAGTAGATGAATTACGGATATTCAGATTAATATTTTATTTGAAAAAAAATTTATTATGTAGTGTTGTCCCGATTGTCTCTGAAAATCGATAACTAATCGGATCACCCCAAAATCGGCAACAATCGATAGTCCTTTTTAAAAATCGATTATTTTAATGTTCTACCACGTACCGCTGACTTGCCTGTACTATATTATTAATACTTATTACTACTTTAGAAAATTATAGTGTGTAATAACATAATATTATAAACTTTCATATCTACTGTAGTTAAATTAGTGATCTACAATATTTTTACCTGTTGACTAGTACTTATATTGACTGCCATAAAGTTGTGTAATACAATAATTGCCTGTTACAAAGTTGTATTAGGTATCTGTGCCGGTATGACTAAATACCTAATATGAATTCATATTCGCAAATATGAACGGGAGTACCGAATATGACTTCAAAGAGTAAATCTTACTTTAATCTTGATGACTAGAGTTTATTCATTCTCAAAATGTGGTCACTACTGTATAAAAAAATACATACTAGGAATGGTACCTTAAAAGAAAAAAGGGCCATAAAAAATGCAAAACTCGATTATACTATCGGCAGACAATCGATTGTGGTGGTCCGATTATGATTGTGATTTTTGAGCCCGATACCCAACACTAATATTATGAAAGTAGATAGCATTTGTTTCTTTTCAATCATGATCATCATTTATATACCACGTTAACTTATTTACTTGTCATCTCATATTTGAATTTAATTGATTATTCTACTCTGAAGACTTGTGGGGATACCTTTATTCCTTGTTTTTGTGTGTAAATAAAATATCATTATACATAAATATTATAAATAAATGTTGAATATCTTTCTATACCGTGACCAAAAAAAATGGAAAATATAATATTTTGATACAAGTGTTAGGTTTGTAATAATTACTATCTGATTCAGAGTGACTTTATCGGTGTTGTATAAATAACGTATATAATCCCTGGTTATAATTTGATTATTTATTTTCATTGTGTGGTATACACAGGTCATAATACATGCAATCAATTACATAGATAAAATAAAGTTTTACAACAATTGATAACCGGAAGTAAATTAATATATAAAGCATTGTCACTTTCGCTTCTAATTATGTTCTCTAAATAAAAAATTCTAATTGTTTGATAAAAAATTCTAATAGTTTGAATCCTAAGACTTCACTTATAAATTAATATCTTAAAGGGACTCCACTGAGGTTTGACATGATGGGACTGAAAATATTTTTTCCAGATAAATGTACCATTTGTTTTAGGTTTAGACCACTAATCTTTGTGCAAGATTTTCATTCGCGCACTTCGTTTTTCCATAATAATAATTCAAATTGTAAAAAATGACCAAAAATGAAAAGCATTTAAACGTTTTTCACTCAAATCGGGCTCAGAAAAGCTTAGAAATACGATTTTCGATTTATTTCAAAGTATATTTCTTAAGTATCTTTGCATATAATATGTCTGTTTTAAGTGCCCAAGCTCATTTATTTAAGAATTTCAAATGTTATGTTTTAGGCTTTTAAACCTCAGTGAAGTCCCTTTAATATAAGTATCTTTCTTTCAGACTGTGATATCTTATTAATTTATGAAGTAGTATAATGCAGAAACCTCTCTATAATAGTAAGGATGACTGCAATCAAAAAATATAAATATATGTGTAATATATAGTTAAATTCGACTGAAGTACAAAACCACGACAGATTTGCACGAAACAGTCAGATGAAAATACAGGTCTGCTCTGGAAACAGACTTGCTTTTGTAGGGATAAAACAATATGCACTGTTTTGTTTCGCAATCGCTGAAAATTACAAGGAACGCTACATATTTATATTTTCAATATAATAAACAAATGTTTACGTCTTTCTATCCCATGAAAAAATGGAAAAAAAGAATATTTTAATACATAAGTAGTAAGCACAATTGTAATAATTACTAAATGATTCAGGGTGATTTTATCGGTGATTTAGAAAACGATATTAGCAACATGTCACATATGGTTTAAATGATATAAACATCCCAGGTTATATATAATTCGATTATTCTGTTTCATTCTGTGGTATACAGAGCCCATAATTATAGCACATAAACACGTATATACAATCAAATTCAAAGATATTACAATAAAAATAAAGTTTTAAAACAATTGATCGTTGTAGAAAATCGGAAGTTAAAATTTTATAAAGTCATTTTCGCCTCAAGTTATGTTCTCTAAAATGAAAATTTCTAATAGTTTGAATCTTGAAGACTTCACTAATTAATTCTACAACAGAGTCTTTACAAATCATCGTCTAATACATTTTGTATAATTTTAGTTTTTAATGCCGTTTGAAAATTCTCAGATCCATACTTTTTTCGCACCTCTTAATGCTTTGCTCACAAAACTTTACAAGGAACGAAAACGAGATACATATTTATATTTCTCGAGTTGATTACAACTATAATCTCGTCATCAAAGAAAAGAAAAGACATCTGTGAGGCCTTCTTCGCGATACAAACTTTTGTGGTTTGTAAAATGGGGATAGCGGAAACCGAATAAAGGCTGTTTTCCCTACCCAAAAATCGGTGTATTTTCCCCTGAAATATCGTGTGCACATTCTTCACCAGAACTATGACTTAACTGCAGCAGAATTTACTCCAGCTTATAAATTTAATTGACTTACAGCTGACCCTAAAGATAACCTATGCTATGTACCATGAATGTTAAATTTAAATTGACTATTTTACAAAATGTATGGGTAAATTCCATTTTCAGTTGTTACAATTTGATATCAGATTTGTCCCCATTTTCTGATATATCGTGTTATATTTGCGCCTTTAGAAAGCCAAATGTTAGCTCATCTGTACCAAGCGATTTTATTCAAAAATTGAAAAACTTCAAACTTGTATTGTAAAAAATACCCACTGCTTAAAGTTTTGTACTAATGCACATGGTATCATACTCTAATGTGTAGTACGTGTAGCTTTCAATACTTTTGCAATTGGTGCTAACTTTTAAAGTTATACTTTTGACATATAAAAACAATTGTTTTAAAACTTTAGAAAAGACAATTTTAATCAAATTTTAATAATTTTATTTTAAAAAGATTAAAATTTTAATCAAATTTTTGCACAAGTTACGTACTTGATCTTAAAATTGGAAGAGATTTTTACCTTTTACCAGAAAATTATTTTCAACAATATAAGACACGCGCAAGCTCAAGTCCTTAATCGCTAAGTAGCTAGAAATCTCTTTTATGTCTATATAACAATGAAAAATGATCGTATATAACTGATTTCATAGGCGCTGAGGTGATGCTTGTTAACAGGTTTTCTTTTATGATTCTCTGTAAATCTTTGATAATCCTCTGTGTTTCGTTGTGCTTTTCCTAAGCCAAAGTTTATTTTCTTAGCCCTTATGAAACAGTAATGAGATATCTAGTCTTGAAGAAATATGAGGCGTGACCTATAACACTTGGAGATATTTAAATTGACTTTTATATCCAATGGGAATGTGGAATGGCCAACCTCATTAACACTGCTGTAATTGTTGATCTAATCTATCTGTCATTTACCGCTTTTTATGTTGAAAAGGTCAAAATAAGGATCTCGAAAAGTCATTCATTGGACAAAGTCTATGAAAAAGCTTGCTGATAACAAAGAGACACTGGTACACATATTAAAGTTGTGTATATTGTATAAACACTCAGTGATAGTTAAGCCAGGATTTTTCTCCTTTTTTTGTTTCTATTTGCATAGACAGTGTAATGGCCTAATGGCAGTTTTCCAACTTAAAAACTGAGAAGATATCGGCCAGAGTCACATCAGGGAGCGACAAAAGTTTAGCGGTGAAAGTGACATAAACAACTCTGGCATTATTCATAAAGATAATACTTAAAAACATTGTAGTCTGTTTTTATTTATTTTTTGTCTTCGTTTTAAATTTCAAAGGGACTCCACTGAGGTTTGAAAGCCTAAAATCATAACATTTGAATTTCTTACATAAATGAGCTGGGGCACTTTAAACAGAAATATATGCAAAGATACTTAAGAAATATAATATTTTGAAATAAATTGAAAATCGTATTTTTATGCTTTTTTTAGCCCGATTTGAGTGAAAAGCGTTTAAACGCTTTTCATTTTGGGCCATTTTTTTACAATTTAAATAATAAATCTGGACGCGCGCAGTGCGCGAATGATCTGAAATTTTGCACAAAGATTAGTGGTCTAAACCTTAATCGAATGGTACATTTATCTTGAAAAAATATTTTCAGTCCCATCATGTCAAAAAACCTCAGTGGAGTCCCTTTAAAGACAAATACTGTAAATCATGGTGGCCACATTCGCTATACATTTATATATACATTACTTAGGTTTGGTATTGCACAGCCTTTTCAAGGTGAACTTGCCTTTTTTAACTATTGACTATTGACAGAAAACAGTTTTTGTACTTTAGATAATTCTCCATTTCATTAAGCAACAAGAGCTGTCAGTAGCACAGCATGCTCGAGTGTTTGATAGTAAAACAAGAACTTAGATAATTTAGAATTTTCTAAGTTCATAAAGGGCCATTATTTTGTCAAAATTCTTGTTAGAGTTATGAGCCTGGAAAAGTGACCTATTATGCTCTCAAACAAGTATAGAAAGTTTCCCTTCGGTAGTTTTGGAAATACATGTATATGAACTTGCATACAGAAACCTAATCAAACAGTGACAGTGACGCCAACGTCTGGTTAAGTACGATAGCTCTCCATATCCTTCAAATAGTTGAGCTAAAAACGGAGTAGTTATTATCCCTCGCCGAAAGGCGGCGGCGGATATAGAAATAGTCTCCGTCCGTCCGTCCTTCCGTCCGTTCGTCCTTCCGTCCGACATTTTTGTTCGGAGCATATCTCAAAAAGTATTTGATTTATCAACTTGAAACTTCATAGGTGGATAGATCTCAATGAGGAGGAGTGCAGTGCACAAGAATGATAACTCTACCCTGCATATTTTTTGAGTTATTGCCCTTCGTTATTTTTCAAACCAAACTTAATTTTTGTCCAGAGCATAACACAGAAAGCTTATGAGATATCAACATGAAACTTCATAGGTGGATAGATCTCACTCAGGAGGTGTGCAGTGCACAAGAATGATAACTCTACCTTTCATAATTTTTGAGTTATTGCCCTTTGTTATTTTTCATACTTAATTTTTTCCCGAGTGACGCATAACTCAAAAAGTCTTTGAGATGTCAACGAACCTTCATAGGTGGATAGATCTTATTGAGGAGGAATGTTGAGCACAAGAAAGATAACTCTCCCCATTCTAATTTTTGAGTTATTGCCCTTTGTTATTTTTCATACTTTTTGTCCGGAGCATATCTCAAAGTGTTTGAGTTATCAACTTGAAACTTCATAGGTGGATAGATCATATTGAGGAGGAGTGCAGCAAACAAGAATGATAACTCTACCCTGCATAATTTTCAGTTATTGCCCTTTGTTATTTTTCATGCTTAATTTTTGTCCTGAGCATTACTAAAAAAGCCTTTGAGATATCAACATGAAAATTCATAGGTGGATAGGTCTCATTGAGGAAGAGTGCAGCACACAAGAATAACAACTCTACCCTGCATGATTTTTCAGTTATTGCCCTTTGTTATTTTTCATGCTTAATTTTTGTCCAGAGCATAACTATAAAAACCTTTGAGATATCAACTTGAAACTTCATAGGTGGATAGATCTCATTGAGGAGGAGTGCAGCACACAAGAATGATAACTTAACTACATGTACTTATATTCACAAAATTGAAACAGACAATCTAGGGTTTTCCTTTTGACAAATAATCAAAATAAAGTAAGCACTAATCAAATTATATCAAGATCACGATTAATGAAATTTGATTTGGCTCTAATTTATCGGCATGAGTGTCAATGCACATTAAGAAGTAATATATTTATTCTCTTTAGTTATTGGGATTAAAACCAGAATATTTATTTTCTACACATTATACGAATTGAAGTTCCGCAAAATGACTTCTGTTATCAATAATTCATCTTATATACACTTAACAACACAAACCTAGGAGCGATTATATATCTCCAACCAGTTTTATGAAAACTTATATAATTATGGATTGCCTCTGAAATGCTTTTATTCTTATTTCTCAAAAGGTCTTTGGTATTTGGTGTCCCGCTTTAGTTTCCAAAAGGTTAGGCACTGGCAAATTACCTAAACAAATCTGGAAGCTTCTGCATGATGCTTTCTGGCAATTAGTTCATTATGTGTTTTATAAACATGTTTATATAAACGTTCCTGAATAGATCAATAAAATGATGACACGTTTTGTTTTAAATAGTTAATCATTTTGTAAACGTTACAAAACATGTTCATTAATTTTTTTTTTTTTTTTTTTTTTTTTTTTTTTTTTTTTTTGCAACATTGTATTAGGATAGAATAACTACTTTTAAGGGCGATAATCTCACTGTGTCATCAATGAAAGACAAACATTACGTCCCATGCGTACTAGAATTTAAACTTCCGCGTTCAAAAGTTCAGGTAGAGACGAACTGACAGAAATATAATTTTCAGTATTGTAATAATATTGGAAAATATAAATGTTTAAGAATTAGTGACTAGTGAAGATAAATAGTGACATGATCATTATTAACAATTAAAAGACACTTTTATGTTATATCTTGAAACAACTGAACACTTTAAATCAGATCACGTGAGTTATCTTTCTTTTCATAGAATAAACAAAAGAGGAACGTTATTGAGAAACAGTTTAATTACATGTTTTACTAAATCAACGTTTATGACATATCAAAATGAATGATAAAAAGGTATACAATGCTATAATGTTTAACGTTATAATAGTATACAAATAGGATACTAGCTGATAAATATGTGACATGTTTAAGCTTGCAAACTTATTATTTTGAGATAGGTTGAGACATGTATATTGAGGTATATATATATATATATATATATATATATATATATATATATATATATATATATATATATATATATATATATATATATATATATATATATATATATATATATATACACAAAACATTTCAAATATTCTTACAAAATAGAATAATAATTTAGAACAAAAGACAAGGCATCTTATGAAATTCTTCTCAAAACATAAAGTTCTTCTCCTAAAATTAAGTTATACGAAATTGTTAGCTAAAAATAACACAAAAATTTCAAATGTGATGTTATTGTACTTGTAGATTTATTTTACATCATTTCGTTCAGAACTTTAATATGTGGTCGGCGGGAATTTGATTAGTTATTTCTCATTATTTTAGAAAATGGAGGTGCCTGGAAAGGTAACTTCAACATCAAAGACGAACTTTTACCTGTACTGTATTCCGTGTAATACAGATGGATTAAAGAAGCCGGCTCACGGATTTTGTCAGGACTGCCAAGAACATCTTTGCAAAAGTTGTTTTAAACATCACAGAAGGTCAAGGCCATCTAGAAACCACGTGCTGCTTGAAAAAGATGCCATGCCGACACAACAAACGACCGTTGATGACGTAAATACAGACGTCATTACTGACAAGTGTACCAACCATAGGGATAAACCACTGGAGTTCTATTGTAACCATCACAAAACTGTAGCATGTTATGTCTGTGTAACGCTTGAACACAAACAATGTAAAGTAGATTATATTCCTGAAGTGTCAGGAAATGTATCTGACGACTTGATGGATTTGAATAAAAAGATGGAAGTTTTAATCAAGAAAAGTGAATATAACATTATGAAAGCTGCAGCTGCTACAACACAACTAGAACAAAGTCATGGAAAAGTCATTGAAGACATACAACTGTTTAGGAAGGAAATTAACGACCGTTTAGATCAGATGGAATCGATCATTATTAAAGAAGCTGAAACTGTAATTAACACAGCAAACCATAAACTTGAAAATATCAAGGATGCTTACGAAAAAATAGCCGAAGAAGTGAAACGTTCACAATCATTTCTAAATGACCTGAGTAAAACAAACAAGCAAAATAAGCTTTTTATTGAAATGAAGAACATCATACCTCGGATCATGACACTGGAAAATGAAGAAATACAGATTATCAACGATAATACGACATATGACGACATTCAGTTTGACCGGAACGAAAATCTTACTTAATCAATTGAAAAGTGGGAACAATTTTGGAAAAATTTTAACATACGGAAAACCATCATCAGATACTGGAATTATGTGTTACATATGAAAGATCCATCGACGTGAAAATTTCCCACTGATTTACAACGAAGTGATGTGACTGGGACTGTAATGATTTCTGTCACACAAATGATCGTCGCTGATTATGGCAATATGAAAATTAAAATGATTAATATTGACACAGGAACGCTGGTGTCAGAGAAAACCCTGTCTACAGCTCCAAATGATGTGATAAAACTTCCGCAAAATAAACTTGCTGTTGCATTACGTCATGAAAAGTGTATCCAGATATTGTCTTATACCGATACAAGTTTGTCTTTAGATCGTCGTATAGATGTCAGAGAAAGCTGTTATTGTGTAGGCTATTGTCAGGACAAGCTAGTAGTAGGCTGTAATTATGATCCAGGAAAGCTAGTTGTTCTAGATTTAGACGGAAAAATCTTACAGGTGTTTGATAGTCCTAAGTTTGGTGGACCTGAAAAGATTTTTATCAGCAGTGATGAAAAGTCCTTGTATGTTTCTGATTACACTTGTACTAAGGATAGCAAGTGTATAAAGATAGACTGGCAAGGTAATGTTGTTCAAAGATTCCAAGATCAAGGATGTAAAGGGCCTAAAGGAATACAGGAGATGGAAGATGGTACGTTGTTAGTTTGTTTCTGCGAAAGCCACAAAATTGTCAGATTGTCGTGCAGCTTCAAGGCATGTGAGATTAAAGGATTAGAAAAAATAAACCTTCATTTTCCACAGACGGTAACATACAGTAAAAGTAATCACAAATTATACGTCAGTTGTTCTTCTGAACAGGGGCGTGATTCAAATGATACACTAAAAGTATTCAATGTGAGATAACTTATTGGTATGTTTTGAATGTGAATATGTGATGTAATGTGACACATTGAATGTGATCAATGATAGTCACAGTAAACTACCAATAATCATAGTAGATACAGAATATATTGTAAATACAAAAACACATCTTGTAATCAAAGTGAATGAAATATAGATATTCAGATTAAGATTTTATCAGAAAAAAATATATAATGAAAGTAGATAGAATTTTTTCATAAATAATGATCATCATTTATATACCATGTTAAGGAACAGCCTTTTATTCAGACATTTCAATTACTTATTTACTTGTCGTCTCCAATTTGAATTTAATTGATACTTCTGCTCTTAAGACGTGTAGGGATACCTATATGCCTTGTTTTGTTTGTAAATAAAATATTATAAAGCTAACTCATACTTCAATATAATAAACAAATGTTGTACGTCTTTCTATCCCATGATAAAAATGGAAAAAGAATATTTTAATACATAAGTAGTAAGACAATTGTAATAATTACTAAATGATTCAGGGTGATTTTATCGGTGATTTAGAAAACGATATTAGCAACATGTCACATATGGTTTAAATGATATAAACATCCCAGGTTATATATAATTCGATTATTCTGTTTCATTCTGTGGTATACAGAGCCCATAATTATAGCACATAAACACGTATATACAATCAAATTCAAAGATATTACAATAAAAATAAAGTTTTAAAACAATTGATCGTTGTAGAAAATCGGAAGTTAAAATTTTATAAAGTCATTTTCGCCTCAAGTTATGTTCTCTAAAATGAAAATTTCTAATAGTTTGAATCTTGAAGACTTCACTAATTAATTCTACAACAGAGTCTTTACAAATCATCGTCTAATACATTTTGTATAATTTTAGTTTTTAATGCCGTTTGAAAATTCTCAGATCCATACTTTTTTCGCACCTCTTAATGCTTTGCTCACAAAACTTTACAAGGAACGAAAACGAGATACATATTTATATTTCTCGAGTTGATTACAACTATAATCTCGTCATCAAAGAAAAGAAAAGACATCTGTGAGGCCTTCTTCGCGATACAAAATTTTGTGGTTTGTAAAATGGGGATAGCGGAAACCGAATAAAGGCTGTTTTCCCTACCCAAAAATCGGTATATTTTCCCCTGAAATATCCTGTGCACATTCTTCACCAGAACTATGACTTAACTGCAGCAGAATTTACTCCAGTTTATAAATTTAATTGATTAACAGCTGACCCTAAAGATAACCTATGCTATGTATTTAAATTGAATATTTTACAAAATGTATGGGTAAATTCCATTTTCAGTTGTTACAATTTGATATCAGATTTGTCCCCATTTTCTGATATATCGTGTTATATTTGCACCTTCAGAAAGCCAAATGTTAGCTCATCTGTACCAAGCGATTTTATTCAAAAATTGAAAAACTTCAAACTTGTATTGTAAAAAATGCCCACTGCTTAAAGTTTTGTACAAATGCACATGGTATCATACTCTAATGTGTAGTGTAGCTTTCAATACTTTTGCAATTGCTGCTTACTTTTAAAGTTATACTTTTGACATATAAAAACAATTGTTTTAAAACTTTAGAAAAGACAATTTTAATCAAATTTTAATAATTTTATTTAAAAAAAATTACAATTTTAATCAAATTTTTGCACAAGTTACGTATTTGTTCTTAAAATTGGAAGAGATTTTTACCTTTTACCAGAAAATTATTTTCAACAATTAAAGAAAAGCGCAAGCTCAAGTCCTTAATCGCTTAGTAGCTAGAAATCTCTTTTATGTCTATATAACAATGAAAAATGATCGTATAAAACTGATTTCATAGGCGCTAAGTTGATGCTTGTTAACAGTTTTTATTTTATGATTCTCTGTAAATCTTTGATAATCCTCTGTGTTTCGTTGTGCTTTTCTTAAGCTTATTTTAACAGCCAAAGATTATTTTCTGAGCCCTTATGAAACAGTAATGAGATATCTAGTCTTGAAGAAATATGAGGCGTGACCTATAACACTTGGAGATATTTAAATTGGCTTTTATATCCAATGGGAATGTAGAATGGACAACCTCATTAACACTGCTGTAATTGTTGATCTAATCTATCTGTCATTTACCGCTTTTTATGTTGAAAAGGTCAAAATAAGGATCTCGAAAAGTCATTCATTGGACAAAGTCTATGAAAAAGCTTGCTGATAACAAAGAGACACTAGTAAATAATCGTTATACACATATTAAAATTGTGTAAATTGTATAAACACTCAGTGATAGTTAAGCCAGGATTTTTCTCCTTTTTTGTTTCTAGTTGCATAGACAGTGTAATGGCCTAATGGCAGTTTTCCAACTTAAAAACACCGGCCAGTGTCAAATCAGGAAGCGACCCTAGTTTTGCGGGGACAGTGACATAAACAACTCTGGCAAATAAAACTTAAAGAATTTGTTTTTATTTATGTATCTTCGTTCTTAAAAGAGAAATATTCTTCACTTACTTGGCAAATTTTGGTGGTCACATTTGCTATATACATGTATTTATATGTAATACTTAAGTCTGGTATTGCACTGTACGATATGTTCCAGGTGAACTTGCCTTTTGAACTATTGACTATTGACAAAAATCAGTTGTTGTACTTTATACAATTCTCCATTTAATAAAGCAACAAGAGCTGTCAGTTGGACAGCATGCTCGACTACTCGGACTGCCCGATAGTAAAACAAGAACTTGGATAAATTAGAATTTTCTTACTTCATAAAGGGCCAATATTCTGACAAAATTCTTGTAAGTGTTATGGGCCTTGAAAAGTGACCTATGTTGCTCTCAAACAAGTGTGAAAAGTTTTGTAAACATGAAAACTTAACGAAACAAAGTGTAACAGCAACGCCAACGTCTGGTTAAGTACGATAGCTCTCCATATCCTTCTGATAGTCCCGGTTAAAACAGAGATGTCATTTTATTTGTGTGTTGAGCAGTACTTGGGTATAGACAATCCCAATGCTTCTCAAAAGAATCGATGAGACGGATTGGAAAATAGTTGAAATATCATAGTAAGCTTGAAATTTTCATTACAATCATAAAAAATACTACAATGTGATTGGACAAAAAATAATGTTGATCATTAACAATAAATGTGATCCCCTTACCTATAAAGGTTTAGCTAAACCACCCGACGACTGGGTATTTTTAACTCTAAAAATTCACGTATAAGCTTATATATTTCTTTATATAATTATTTATCCTATATATCTTAAAGTTTGAACAGAAAATGAGATTCAACACAACACTTTTCAACACAACAGTGTGTAGTCTCTACATATATAACTTTCATAAACATATACAAATTTAATTGTAATAATCAACAATTAAGATTTCAATTTAAAAACTATATTGGAAAATCATTTGACACACTACATCTATGAACATCTTTCAATATTTTGAAATAAAATTAACAAAAATACATATATTTACTAGATTTTTTGTTACACGATTGTCATAATAATAAGTTAACAACAAAGATTGATCAAAGTAATCATCAATGATTGTTACACACTTTTTATTGAGGAACATTCAATCAGTTTAGAGGTTTTTATTCTTGTTTCAGCTTATAACCCCTGACAGAAGCCAAGGCAAATGATTGGAACATACTTATATGTTACAGATCTAGCATATTATGCATTTAATAAATTAATAACATGTACTGATACATGTCAATGTTAATTGCAGGCATGACATAAAGTCTATACTATAGTAAGTTAATATAATAATGTAACTTAAATTGATACTGGATCATAATGAGCAATGATGAATCCATCTAGAAAAAGGTATAGAGTCTTTTATAGAATTTATTCCTAGAAAACACTGAAGAAGTCTCTCAAAGCCCATTCCAAATCCACCATGTGTTACACTGCCATATCTTCTTAAATCAAGATACCTCAATATATATAAAAAAAACATTCATGGAACACAGTTGAGAATAACTGTTTCTTTGTTATGTATTATGACATTATACTCTTTATATATCTATGTGTATAAAGTAGATGTAAGGTATGAGAGGGGTATGACAATGATCTAGAATAAATGTTAATTACACAAGATATATTTTTGATGGCAATGATCTAACTGTATAATTATGTAAGTCATGTTTATTTTTTATA